ATGCCTGTTTAAACTTAAAAATGAAATTCAATAAAAAATTCATCTCTGAGTATATTATCTGCGGTTCAAGTGGTTAGCAGCCAAAGATGTCTAGGATTTACTGTATCAGGCAGTGCATAATGTTTCCACTTGGGGAGAGTTCTTTTGGACACATTGACCTGGATCCTTAAGCAGAGTGTTCAAAGGACAAGATTCAAAATCTGTCTTCATCCACAGACTCCTCAATGACACAGAATTCTCTCTGGGCCTGTAGGATTTTCTTATGCAGCTAGCATATTAGTGATGATGGTGATGATGATGATGATGATGATCTATATTTACTTAGTATATAACATGTGCTAAACAGCTAAAGATTTTAAATATATTTTATGTCATTTAATGACCATCACAGTCCTGAGGAGGACACTATTATTATTTCCATTTTAACAATGGAGAAACAGGTTTAGAGAAATTGTTATGACACTCTATCAGGCTATACCAGATGAAATTGCCAGTATTTGGTCATTTTTGATGAAAATGGCAAATGCATGTGGTTCAACCTCATGGTAAGTGGCAGAGTCAGGTTTAGAATCCAGACCAAGTTCAATGTGTCAAATTCTCTGTAAGTGACCGCCTTGAAACCTACTTCATAGGGCAGTTGGAGGAGTATACTAAATAATATTGGCTCTGTGCATGAATGTAAAGCAAAGCTCATGAAATGTTCCTTTTATTTTAACTTCATCTGTCTGTCAGTCTTACTCCCTAGGGAGGCAGCACACAGCTGTCTGAGCAGATGTGGCCAGTGAGATTGGGAGGAGGTGGCCTGTTGTCATTTACTAGACTCTACCCTGGGGGCCTGAAAAATTCCATCATTGCCATTAGGACGTCTCCTGTCCCTTCCTGCTACTAGTCCCTACTTTTTTTCCTGCTCAGAGATTTTCTTCTGTTGGGTAGGTATGAGAAATTCTTCCTGGGCCTCCAGCAGAGGGAGATGTGATGCAAATTGGCCCTTCCTATTCACTGTGCCCCTCAGACCCAGAAGACATCTTCATCAATAAACCCTTCTTCCCCTCAGGACCACAGAAGGAGCAGGAAGTGGGAGGTGGAGAGGAGGGGCAGCTGCCATGTTGAGTATGACAGACATTTATATAAGCTGTCCTCTGGATCTCCCGCACATTGCAACTGCATAATTTGTTTCTGGCAAGAAAACTGATTTGAAATTCCTCCTTCTTTGATTTGGCAAGAGTGAAGAGAAGCCTCCCTTGGCTGAGGGGCTCATGTTTGGGTGGGGTTTAGGACCTGGGAGTAATTTCCACCCATATAAGGAAACTGTCTATCAAAAGCAATAGTATAGAATTGCCAGGTCTAGAAAGGAAAATATCGGGGACCCAGTTAAATTTGAATTTCAGATAAATATTTTTTTTAGGAGAAGTATATAT